GAGAAGGGGCAGCGCTCCGCCTCGGCTCCCGTCCAGGTCTCCATCAGTGTCCAGCTGTGGCGGCTCCCGGGCTGCCACGAGTTCCTGGCGGCTCTAGGTAGGACAGGCACCCTCAACTCTGTGGGCTTCTGTAATTCCATTTCAAAGCGATGTTTCCTCCTGGTTCCTGTGGGGTAAGGTTGGTAGACACCTAAGGATCTTATCTTGGTGTTGCTTAGATACTTGATTAAAAAGGTCACATCAGATTCCAGGGCTTTGGCAGGGTGCCTAGGGGCCCTCCTGTTGTGTCCCAGGTCCCAGAAGTGCCAGGGGTAACCCCTGAGTGAGAGCTGCAGGAAACTTAAAATCGCAGTCGTATATAATGGTCTCAGTGTCTCTTTCCTAGCTGGCCAGAGAGCCACACAACCAGAGGCCCCTCTGAGACCTGGGAGGAGGATGCAGGTGTCAGCCAGGGCACTGCACAAGTGCATGGCTGCTTGCTCCTCCCCTAGGGTGCCCAGGCTTGGAGCAAGGCCCCTTCCAGTCTTCCATGTCTAGCACACACCATTGGAACCCACGCCACGGTGGTCAGTGACTTACAGGACTCAGTTCTCTTGCAGTAATGAATTCCCATCATTTGGTAAAAGCCAAGATGCCCAGTGGAGACATGACATTGACTTATTGGTCATTTGCTATTAACTGCTGAGTTCTCAGAGACCTTCCTGTTGCTTCAAGGCGCTGTTTATTTTCAAGCTCAGAGAGGAAAATGCGCCATAGCAACCAGATGCTCCTCAGTGAGCCCAATTCCAAAGGGAGTGACAGATCCGTACCCACGAGGACGGTAATTGGCTAGCTAGCTCAACGGGCGGAGAGAGGAGCCTCTCCTTTGGTGACCATGCACGGCTGTCCAGTCACAAAATGCTCAGTACCCTGACGAGGCAGCCATGGGTATTACGGCCCCTGCTGTCACAACATCGAGCTCAGAGGAAAGGGGTGCCATCACAGGTGCCCTGTCCCGAGGGTGGCGCGAGCATTCTGCCCTATTCCGAGTGCAGCACAGGGACCCCCTGAGGGAGGCTGAGTGAAGACTGAATGCTGAAGACTCTTCAGGCCCCAAGTTCTTGCTCGGTGATCCCCATGGAGGTTGCCCCTGCATGTGGCTGTCCCCAGGGTGGGGCCTGCGATGGATGCTGTAGTGTCCCTTGGTCAGTCTAGGTACTGAGTCAGCAGCTCGTTAGCAGGCTGTACCCGCTCAGAGCCAATGAGAAGTATCTGGGCTTGGCGGGGCAGGGCGACATCCCTGCAGGGTGGTTCTCCACTGTCACAGCCCGTTTCCAAGTCTACAGTGGCAGGCCCCCCTTCCCATGCACGGCCTTGACTATTGGACCCAGTGCCAGCCGAATGGAATAGCCAGCTTTTGTCCTGGACGGAGTAAGGGACTCCTCTGTGGAAGGGTGAAGACAGCACACTAACTGCCCTACCAGGGCCTGGGCCCTCAGCTCTGAAGAACAGATCAGGCAGGAAAGTGGCCCACACTCTGAGGGACAGCGGAGAGCCGGGCAGTGAGGCCCGAACAGCCCAGGAGCTCCGCCGGGTGGGGCTGGCCAGGCAGCCCTATCCTTGCCATTCACAGGCCTCTATGTCTGCCAAGGGCCTCGCAGGCGTTCCCACACAGCAGGACAGGAGTCCCACAGCTCTGACCTGTTCAGGATAGGGAATCGGCCCTGAGGAAGCAGATGTCTCCTTTCTGTGCTCCTCCAGGTTTTGATCTCTGTGAAGTTGGTCAAGAGGAAGTGATCCTGAAAACTGGGAAACAAGCCAGCCGGCGAACCGTGCACTTCGCGCTGCAGTCCCTGCTGTCTCTCTTTGGTAAGAGCCCCCCTGGGGCGTACCGGCACATCTCGGGGAAGGAAGAGTGAGTGAACGCTGTGTGCCTGTCTATGCACTGTTCTCCTTGCTCCCCTGGAGCTGACTGCTGGGGGAGGAGGGTGGTTAAAACACTTGTCGTACGAACGAGGGGCTGACAGTGCAGGAAGAGAACTAAAGCAGAAGGGGCTGGGGATGCTGCTCAGTGGTCAGAATGTGCTCTCGGGGTGACGTGTCTGCTGTGGGCCACAGGGGGTGACGTGTCATGCTATGGGCTGGGGTGCACATGTTGTGCTGTGGGCCACGGGGGTGCACGTGTCCTACTGTGGGCTGGAGTACATGTGTCCCGCTATGGACTGCAGGGGTGCACATGTCCTGCTGTGGGCCGGGATGTACATGTCCCGCTGTGGACTGCGGGGGTGCACGTGTCCCGCTGTGGGCCAGGGTGTGCGCGTGTCCTGCTGTGGACTGCGGGGGTACACGTGTCCTGCTGTGGACCGGGGTGTACGTGTCCTGCTGTGGGCTGCAGGGGTGCATAAAGCCTGCTGTGGGCCACGGGGGTGACATGTCATGCTGTGGACTGCAGGGGTGCACGCATCCCGCTGTGGCCATGGGGGTGACATGTTTCGCTGTGGGCCAGGGTGCACGTGTCCCACTGTGGGCCACGGGGGTGAGTGGGGCCTGCGGAAGTAGGTGCCCAGATGAACTGGCTTGGGAGGGGGTTTTCAGGCCTAACTGATGTCCACAAGGAGTAGACAGGGTGGTGTGGAGAGTCAGGGCTGGCTTGGGCGGTGGTCACGGGTTGATGGCAGACCAGCTGGGTCTGCTGAAGGGTGTGCACCAGGACAGACAGGCAGGGCCGCAGAGATGCCCTGTGCTTTGGGATGATCTGCCTTTGGCCAAGGCCAGGGAGGTGTAGGAGGAGGGGGCTGCAGTTCCATCCTGGACTCAGTTGGTTTTGAAGCACCCACTGGACACCCACCTAGGCAGCTGTCATAGGACTGTGGGATTTGGGAGAGGCCAGCGGGTCAGAGAATGTCCTGTAGGTACTCCAGGGTTCAAAGGTCACAAGGGTGAGAAGGGCCTGGGAAGACGTGGGCGGTGAGAGCAGAGTGTGTTCCACTGCAGAACTGAGCAGTGGACACTGGTTTGGTAGCAAGGACCTCGCTGGTGGGCTCTATAAGAACGGGAGGGGACACAAGCCTGGGCGAGATGGTGACCGGCAGATGGAGATGGCTCCTGTGACAGCTTGTGGGAGTAGGGGCCGACGTAGCTGGAGCTGGAGGCGATGGCAGTGTGGGGCGGCAGCACAGGCCCTGGTCAGAGGGAGGCAGGTGTGGGGTACCCTGCTGCCCACTGTCCCCTGTGACGGGAGCAGAGTGGAGACAGGCCTTGGCAGCGGAGGGCTTGGGTGTGTTTGGTGGGAGCCTTCTGAGGGTGTTTTGTTCTGGGTCAAGATTTGCTGCTTTTATAACAGGACCATGTTTGTTAGGATTGTAAGATTAATTCAAGTGGTAGCTACAGGGGGTCTTCAAAAAGTTCATGGAAGAAGTTCGGTGAAAAACTACGTGTGGCTTTCAAAACAACTCTGGTACCAAAATAAACGTACTCATGACCTTTCTGCAGCCCCCTGCGAGTACCACCTGAGCACTTGTTCGCTAGCTTCTGTGTACACAGGGACGCCTGTGATTTAAAAGGAAAACCCAAACTGTATACAATCCTAACTGCCATTCGGGCCTTTGTTCTGCACTTAGATTCTACGGAGCTCCCCAAGCGCCTCAGCCTCGACAGCTCCTCGTCCCTGGAGTCCCTGGCCTCGGCTCAGTCCATTTCCAATGCCCTGCCCCTGGGCTACCAGCACCCGCCCTTCTCTCCCACGGGGGCAGAGAGCATCGCCTCGGACGCCATCTCCGTGTACAGCCTGAGCTCCATCGCCTCCTCCATGAGCTTCGTGTCCAAGCCTGAGGCCGGCTCAGAAGGGGGAGGCCCGAGAGGCCGGCAGGACTACGAGCGCTCCAAGAATACTTACCCGCAGCGGTCCACCCTGCCGCGGAGCCAGCTGTCTCCCCAGAGCCGCCCCACCGGCAGCAAAGAGGAAGACGAATATGAAGGTTTCTCCATCATCAGCACTGAGCCCTTGGCAGCCTACCAAGAAAACAGAAAGACTCGCTTCTCCCCAGACCACAAGCAGTCCAGAGTCGGGACAGCTGCAGGTGTGAAGGTTTCTGTGAGCTCCAAGGGCAGCGTGAGCACCCCAAACTCCCCAGTTAAAATGACCCTGATTCCCAGCCCAAACTCACCCTTCCAAAAGGTCGGGAAACTCGCGAGCTCAGATACAGGCGAGTCAGACCAGTCTAGCACAGAAACGGACAGCACCGTGAAGTCCCAAGAAGAAACCAACGCAAAGCTCGATCCTCAAGAGCTGGCCCAGAAAATTCTGGAGGAGACGCAGAGCCACCTCATCGCAGTGGAGCGTCTTCAGAGGAGTGGCAGTCAGGTGAGCAAGAGTAACAACCCCGAAGACGCCATCTCGGCCCCAGCCAGTGCTGCTGTCTTCAGGGCGTCCGAAACGAGCGCGTTCAGCAAGCCTGTCCTCTCCCATCAGAAGGGTCAGCCGTCGCCCGTCACTGTCAAACCAAAGCCCCCAGCCAGGAGCTCATCCCTGCCCAAGGTGAGCTCGGGGTATAGCAGCCCCACCACCTCGGAGGCGTCCATCAAAGACAGCCTGAGCCAGCACAGCGGCCGGCCATCACCCGGCTCCGACTCCCAGACTTCCCTGACGGACCAGCCTCTCTTTAAACTCAAGTACCCCAGCTCTCCTTACAGTGCGCACATTTCCAAGTCCCCAAGGAACATGTCCCCTAGCTCAGGCCATCAGTCTCCTGCTGGTAGCGCGCCGTCCCCAGCTCTCTCCTACTCCTCAGCCGGCTCCGCTCGCTCGAGTCCAGCAGACGCTCCTGACATAGACAAACTAAAGATGGCCGCCATCGATGAGAAGGTGCAGGCCGTCCACAACCTGAAGATGTTCTGGCAGAGCACACCTCAGCATTCCACGGGACCAATGAAAATCTTCCGGGGGACCCCTGGAACAATGACTTCCAAAAGAGATGTCCTCAGTCTATTAAATCTGTCGCCACGGCACAACAAGAAGGAGGAAGGCGTCGACAAGCTTGAACTTAAGGAGCTGTCACTGCAGCAGCGCGAGGAAGCACCACAGAGAGCCCCTCCCAACGGACACCGGCGCACCGAGACCACCACCCTGGGCACCCTGCCTCTGCCTGCCGGCCCTCCCGCTCCCGCTCCCACGCGCCCTTTGAGACTGCCTTCTGGAAACGGCTACAAGTTCCTGTCCCCTGGGAGATTTTTTCCTTCCTCCAAATGCTGAAGCATCTTCCTAGCCACTGACTCAGAGCACAGTGGCCCGCAGACAGGGCCTCAGATTTATTCCTCAGCCTCGTCCCTGCCCAAGTGCGTCACCCTCACAGCCACCCGCACCACTGCATGCGGCGGTGCTCACTAGGGGAGGGGCACGAGCACGCCCCGGCGCCACCACACGCACTGGTGGCTCTTCTGGTCCCTAGGCCAGGTTCACCAAAAGCCAGGACTTCTGTGAGGTTAGTACAGAAGGCTCATGGAATTTTCTACACATTTCACCAAATGTTTACCTTGGGACTCTCCGCTTCTCATCCTCGATGTGATCCTTCAACGGGATTTTATACGAAACAGTCATGGTTCTGGGGGGGAGAGGAAAGGGAGCACGTATTTTGCTAAGAGGTATATATGCAGTCCCTTTTCTACACAGAGATACAAATACAGCTTTTTATTAAGGCTTTCAGGTGCTGGTTAGGGGTGGGATTTACAAAATCTCTCAAGTCGAATACTACATGGAATTGTTCTATTAGCCAAAAATGGAATAATGGTTTTTAAAATGCCACTGATTTGTGGATAAAATGTAGCGATTTTGATTCACAGTAGTGCGACGTCACATCAGCAATGCAATAAGCCAGGCTGACACAGCGCTTCCGTCCTGAGCTCTGCTCCACGGAGCTCGGCAAACGTCCTCCGGGCCCCACTGTCGACCAAACTTGAATTTTCTTAAAAAATGTATGTAACTCTTACCCAGGCATTTTAGAACTATGCAATTGTGATTTAAAATGCAACTTTGTGCTTTTTAAGACATTATTGACCATTTTTGTACATGGATGAACCTGGTTTTATTATCAATAGTACTTCACACTTATAGCTATTATTTTTAAAAGCTCAAAATTTTTTAAAATGTCAAATTTTGAATAACCATCAATAAGTAATTATCAAGTTTGTGGGCAAAAGTTGAAATTATTCTGTTTCCTTATAAACAAGCAAACAAAAAATCCCCTGGCTAGCTAAATTTAACTAGACTCTAGGCTTTTAACTCTTCCTTCCTTTTTATCAGCTGCTTTATCTTATTGTCTCTTCCCTACTCAGGCCCCTGAAGCCTACTCCATCTAAATCCTTTGCCAGACCCTCCCTTGGTGGTGGCCAGCCTCTCCTCACTCCTGCTGCCTGAAGGACAAGTCCCTCTGCTTAGGAGCCTTGTGTCCGTGTCCTGAGAGGCAGGGGTCTGCAGGCTTCTGGCTGGGCCACACGTCCAAATCGTTGCTAAGCAGAGAAACAGGGCTTACTGTAGTAACTGCAGCTGGGCCTCTCCTACCACAATGGCAGCATCTGTACATTGTCGCCAGCTGGGGTAAGAGAAGGGGACAGTCTAGTTAAGGTAGTAACCATTAATTTATTTTAATAAATGATGAAAATCATATTAGTACTAAGTTAGGTTGGAGAATTTAAATATCTTTTAGATGATTCTAAAAATAAATCCTACCATCCTCACTGTGAGAGTGTATCGTGCACAGGTGCACAGCCGCCTGGCCCAGGACCCCAGCCACACACCGAGAATACCAGCATCAGGACCCACCCCCAGTGGCGTTTCACCCTTGGGCAAGATCTCTCTCTACACACCCACTGGCCTTCACCCGCTCTTGTGTGCCCCTCTGAGAAGCAGACAGGACACTGTGTACCCGACCTGTGTCATCCTGCTCTGCCCTGTAGAGGTTTGCGTGTTGAACTCAATAGCCATGTTGACAAAAGCAAACAACTCAGATGTCACATTCCAACCTGGATCCCAACACCAGAAGAGGCTTCGTACAGGAGCAAGCAGTTATAAAGATGTCTTTATGTTGGTAGAGAAAAAAAGAAATGGTAATAAAAGTACCCATGTAGCCAATAAGCCAAATTTATAGCACTGTGCATTCGAATAGCAAAATCAGGTCCTCCACAAAAATCACCCTCAAGGCAGATTCCTAAATCCATGCGCGGAGAACGAGGCTATCCTTTTCTCAGAAAATCTCTCTCAGAC